GTGTAGAGGCTGTTTCTTCAAAGCAGGATGTGATTTTATTGCTCCAGAAATGAGCGAACTTAAAAATTGATTTACTGAAATAAGACAAGTGGATGCGTTTGAATGTCACCTCTCCTCAAGCACGGTGCATTTCCTTTGATGATCTAATCCCTGTTGACTTCAGAAGCTGATGCCTTGGACCATCCTATCTCTGTCCACAGAATCCTGGAATGGTTTGTGTTGGAAGGGACCTTAAAGCTCCTCCAGCCCCAACCCCTGCCCCGGGCAGGGACACCTTCCACTAGAGCAGGTTGCTCCAAGCCCCTGTGTCCAACCTGACCTTGAACACTGCCAGGGATGGGGCAGCCACAGCTTCTCTGGGCACCCTGTGCCAGCGCCTCAGCACCCTCACAGGGAAGAGCTTCTGCCCAAGAGCTCATCTCAACCTCCCCTCTGGCAGGTTCAAGCCATTCCCCTTGTCCTGTCCCTCCATCCCTTGTCCAAGGCCCCTCTCCAGGTTTCTTGTCACCCCTTTAGGCTCTGGAGCTGCGCTAAGGTGTCCCCTTCAGGAGCCTTCTCTTCTCCAGCTGCCCCAGCCCAGCTCTCTCAGCCTGGCTTCAGAGCAGAGCTGCTCCAGCACCTCTCCTGTAATCCGTATTCCTCAGGCATAGAATGTTCAAGGCAAAGGAAAAATGGGTCATGGTGTCTTCCCACCGCTGGGATGCCACATCCTGGAGGTACAGGGGGAAGTGCTGCTGGGGCTGCTGTGTGCCCATAGAGAGCTGGACATAAATCCCTCATTGCCTGCCCTGGCGCTTGTGGAGCCTGACTTTGAGTCCAACATATGGGGGAATCAGTTGGGGGATATTTAAATGGATGAATGTGCTTGGGACAAAAATAACTGTATTAAACATGTTGCAGCATCTCTGGCTCAGGGAGTCAGTAACCATAAGGCAAGAGGAAGAGAATGTCTTGGAAACAATGTGTGCCTGGAAGATCTACAGTAATGCACATCCTTTAGGATATAAGAACTACCACCAGCAGCAAAGTTTGGATGGATCTTGTTATCTTGTTAAGCCAAAACCCTCCAGTGCAAGTGCTGAATCTGTGGGGTTGTTGCTTGCCTGCTCCCCCCGAGCAGTCAGGGCTGGCTCTTGGCTCCTGCTCCCTGTCTGCCTCTGCCATCTTGAGCACACCCGTGTGTGTTTCCTCAGTGCTCTGAAATGGGAACTCTCAGCGTGGCCAAGTCAAACTCTGTTGAACTAAACCTGCCCAGAGCTCATTGCAACCCTTGGTGCTTAAGCAACCGTGTAATACAGGATCAACTCTGCAGCCTTCCCCTGGGACTCCTTTTAGGTAGCTCTTACTTGCCTTGTAGTATTTATCATTTTTAAGATGATCACACATTGTTTGTCTTCACCACAGGGAAAACAGTGAGCAGTGAAGGGCTTCATTTGTAGCTTGCACTATAAATGAGATTGATGGGTTGGGGTTTTACGCCTCTGTTCCGAGCTTCACAGCTGCTCTCAGCGGACAGACATCTGAGGCCGCGAGCAAGGGGTGCCGTCGATGAAGGAAAACTTACTTCTTCAGTGTTTGATGTGGTGCAGAGTTCCTGGGAGGCTGATGGATGGGAATTCCTGCTCTGGACTTTGCAGCCTGTGGTGGACAGAGCTTTGCCCATGCAGGGCTTTGGTGGAAGGAGCCCCTGGCTCTCTGCAGGTTATTGGGCTGCAGCAAAACTTCCATCCCTGGAACTTGTCACTGTTGAGGGGGAGGATGTGTGTGCAGGTAGGAAGAGAAGGGAGTTGCTGGTTGTGCTGAGCTTGGAGGCAGGAGGTTTTGATGAGAAGTTCTGGGCAGTTTAGGCTTCTCAGGATGAACTGAAGCCATGTGCTCCCAGCTGGGAGATGACCGGTGGTTCAGGTTGTCATTTAGGCTTTATGGCATCATGTATGGAAGAAAATGGACCAAGTGGGGTTTATTTTTTACTGCATCAAGTACTTTGGTTGTGATACTTTGTGTTGATGGAATCTGGTGTGTGCAGCTGTAGGG